CTTTGGTTTTGTAAAAATTGCCTTTTTCACATTCTATTCTCTTTTCAAAGCAGGCTAATTCTACCTTCTAGTCAAATTTACTTCTTCTCCATCCACACTACCGCTGCCATAATAGGCTATCATCATTTATTTCTTAAACCTAACTTAACCCCTGCCGTCAGGCGGCTGTCAGAAAGACCTACATGAAATACTAACTCACCGTGTTAATCCCCTTGTCTCACCCTACAGTGGCTATAATTACCTACAACATGAAGTCCAGGCTCCTCCTTCCAGGGTCTGGCTTCTGATTTCTTTTCCAGCTTCATCTCTTTCTCAAATCTATAAATTCCTGCAAGCTAGAAGTGGTAGAAGCTTCCTATGTGTATCACACCTTTGCTTACATGAGGCCTGGAATGCCACCCTCCACTTCCAATTCTCAGCCTGGTTAAACCTTTACACCCAATGTAGGAGGTATAACTTTATGGCCAGTGGAATGGTTTTGAAATCTATCAGAGGAGTGTTTGAACGTCCCTTTGCTACATACTATGTATGTGAATGCAAACAAACTATTCAACCTGCTGAAGCCTCAGTTTCCCCAACTCTAACATAGGGGATATAATACTAATTGTAGGGTTGCTTTGAAGATTAGTTGAGGTAATATTTATAAAGGGCTAAGATGAGTATGTGGCACACCTAAGTCCTTAGAAATGTGTATAAATTTACTTGCCACGTGAAGACTTCTGACACCTCCACCCTCTGACTGTGGAAGGTGCCTCCTTTCTGTTCTCCTGTCATAACCTATCCATATTTCTATCGTAGCAATTAGAACACTGTAATACAATTATCTTTTATATAATGGCTTTCTTGCCTTGATTGTGAATCCTTTCATTACCGTAACCATATCTATTTCATTTTTGCCTCCCTAACTTAATACTGTGCTCTCGGATACTTACCAGAATTTCTAAAAAATGTAAACACACATCGTACATGCGATTCTGTGACTGTGAACTGTTTCTCTCCTTTCACAAAAGGGTATCCTACTTAGTGTGTCGGGTTCTTTTCTCAACTATTTTATTTCCTACTCTCTGACTTCAAAAACTCCCAGTTTTTGTCATTGTCTTTATATATGGAGTTTCTAAAATTTTAGCCCTGAACTTTTTTTCCAAGCTCCATTTATAAAAACCTGTTAGATACTGAGTATCTAAGTTTCACATTCTAATAAACATCAATTACATTCTCCAATATACCTAAGCTACAAAATATGAAGTTATCCTGGACTCTACCCTCTCTCTACATCAAATGAACCCTGTTAATTCTATCTCCAAAATATCCATCAATTACTCTTTCATCTCTATTCTCTGCCAGTTACTCATTCAGGCCCCTACTGTGTCTCACCTGGAGTATAAAAATAGGAGCCTCTCATCTCTTTCTCTCCCATTTCTCCGTCATCACTTCATCTGCTTTCCACTTCAATCTATTTACACACCATTGTTAGAGTAGGTTTCCTAAAACAAAAACCTGGTGTGTATTTCCTTGCCTATGGTACAATAGCTTCTGCACAGGATAATGGTGAAACGCTAACTAGCAAGACCCTATTTAAAGATCTTCACAAACTTGACTGAAATTTTTTTCCATATATAACTCCTGCCACTTTTCTCCTTCTTTCCTCAAAAACCTTCTATTTTGTGATAAAAAAATATTTATAAGGCCCTAATTTGAAAATATGTGAAACTCTGAAAATAATCACAGATTTTAAACACTGACTTTAAAAATGAATTTCAAGCTGTATTTCCCACTGGAGACACATGGTGGCAACATTTTAGCTGCTTACCAGCAGTATTGGAGGTCCTTTGTTAACATCCTGTGGATATGCTTATAAATTTGTGCATGGGCTTGTGAGGACTACTGCAATGTTATTTAAACATTATTAATAGTATGCTAGTGTTAAAATGCTCCACATAACTTTGAAACAAATTTACAGGTGCTAAAATTATTTCTGTATTATGTTTTTATTATTCATTTTGTTATGGGCTAAAATGTGTCCCCCACCCCAAACTCATATGTTGATATCCTAACCCCAATATACTTCAGAATATGATTGTATTTGAAGATAAGGTCTTTAAAGAGGTAATTAAGTTAGAATGAGGTTTTTAGTGTAAGCCCAACTCTAAAATGACTCATGTGCTTATAAGAGGAGATTAAGGACACAAACAAGTAGAGGGAAGACCATGACCTATTAGCCAAGGAGAGAGGCCTCAGGAGAAAGTAAACCTGCTGACTCACACCTTGATCTTGGACTTCCAGACTCCAGAACTGTGAGAAAATAAATTTCTGTTGTTTAAGCCACCCAGTCTGTGGTACTTTTTTTATGGCAGTCCTAGCACACTAATAAGCCCTTCAAATGTTTTTAAATATACATACAATATACATAGATACGATAGTTATGGGTTGATATAATATGTAAGTTTGTAATCTCCCTATTATAGTTATTCATAGGGGGAAATGATTCTTTTTTTGTGATATGAACTCTTCAGAAATCCTTGCCTCAAGTAAAATGCCACTGTCCCAAATCTTGCCCATGGCCCTCTACTGACCATTAACTCAATAGGAAGTATGTTTTTACTCATTTACCCTTGCTCAGCAGACTTTAATGGAATGGTTAAGGGTGCAGACTCTGGAGCCAGACTGCTTGGATTCAAAGCCCACTTCATCACTAACTGTGCAATTGTGGGCAGTTACTTAAAAAGCCACACTTTTCTCAGATGTCTGTATAGAAACAGTCACAAGAGTACCTGCATTAGAGGTCTCTGTAAGGATTAAACAAGTTGATAGATAGAAAATGTGTAGAGTGATACTGGGAACATAGTAAGTGCAATTATGCTGTCCCTCATTCCTCTCTTGGTTAGGCTCTAGTTACCTCTTTGAGAAAAACTTTTTATCCTTCAAGGCCCAGAGGAAAATATGCCTCCACTTTGAAGCTTTAGTGACTCAACCTCCCCTTTCTTCCCAGATTGAAAGCTAAATAAACGTGTTGTTACAGATATTGCAGAGAGTTGAGCTTTGGTTTCAAATACAGATTTTTCCATTTACCTATTATGTAATTTCAGACAACTTGCTTAATTTCTTTGAGTTTCCATATCAAGTATAGTACCTGACTTAGGAATGCTCAGTGATTACTTTTCTAATGAATACATATTTCATCTGTGGGTTTGGGAATGTAGCATCAACTACATAATATACAGCAGTGCTCCCGAAGTGTGGGACTAATGAAAGTACCAAGATGATCTTAGCTGAGACAAGTATGGCATCAAGAATACTCAATCATACAGAGAAAATTCTCCTTTCTTTTTTTCCTCTCTCTCTTTTTTTAAGATTTTATTTATTTATTTGAGAGAGAGAGAGAGAGAGAGAGAGCACACAAGCCAGGTGCAGAGGGAGAGGGAGAAGCAGGCTCCCTGCCTAGCAAGGAGCTCAACCACCTGGAGCTGGATCCCAGGACCCCGGGATCATGACCTGAGCGGAAGGCAGGTGCTTAACTGACTAGGCGCCCCAAGAAAATTCTCCTTTCAATTTTATTTCAATACTGCTAATTAGGTCAAGGAGAAAAAAATCTTTGTTTAGTGCTATTTTTCTTTAATGTCTGCTAATCTACATTTGTATGTTCTTGGCTTTTGTTTGAGAGAGAGCATGCGGTGCAAGCAAGAGTCCCAAGTTAGGGGAGAGGGCCTGGGTCAGACGGAGACAGAGAATCCTAAGCAGGTTCCAAGCTTGGTATCTGACTGGATCACACCACCGCAGATTATGACCCCAGCCGAGATCACGAATCAGTTGCTCAACTGACTGAGCACCCAGGAGTCCTGCTAATCTATGTGTTTAATCGAGAGTCAGAGCCTTTCCCAGGTGAGACCTTAGCATTGAATCACATTTTTAAAAATTAATTACACTTATTTTTACTGTTTTAATTTATGACAGGTCACAATGCTTTTCAATGTATGGTAATGATACAAATTTTTCTTTTAAAATAAATTAAGTATAAAAGGTAATTTGATTTAAGGAAAAAATTTTAAGTATATAATAGTATATATAGTGAAATCAAGGAGACTAATACTCAAATTATTGCAGTTTGCAACTGATTTATATGAACTGCCATGAATTATTCTGTTCATTGTAATTCAAGGTAGCTGTTAAGTTTATAATCTAACAGAGCTGGTAGCAATTAGTGTTGTATCAAGTACTGTTTTGATTTATAGTAGTCCAAGAACGAAGTAGAACTAATACAACGGTGAACTCAACACAGCCGTTGTCTCATTCCTCTGCACCAAACTTCAGATATTCCAGAAAAGCCCAAGAGAGATAGGGGGAGACAGACGCTGGATGTGCTACATAGGTCTCATGATCTCTTATCGTTAGCACCTACGTTACTTAGCCAGGGATCTGCCCTCTGCAAGGTCAGTATTTGTTGAAATCAAACTTGAAGATGATGGAGACTTCTGGGAGTTCAGGGTGTAACTTTTTCCACCTTCCGTTCTGGTCCAAACTTTCCTAGGATACATTATTGGAATTAATTTTGCTGCCTGTTTCCTTACAGATGCACTAAAATATTAGCCATATCAGAAACAACGGGGGGGGGAGTTTATTTCGACTTTCAAATTTTAAAATAGTTGCTGTGTTACTTTGCTATTTAGTAAGAGAAGCTAAATCACAACGCAGCTTTGGGGCACAATTAACAGTACAGGAACGCTCGCCCTCACGTGACTTCCTTACAGTCTCGCGTGGAGGCGCGCTGACGTCATCCTGTCGTGCGACGCGGAGGCGCCGACGAGGGGCGCTGCGCCGCGGGTGTCGCGCCGGAGACGCTAGGTGGGCCACGCTGGCCACGGTACTTTTTCTTCTCCTGCTGCGTAAAGCTGGTTGGGTGTTTTTCGCCGGCTCTTAGCGGCGGGCGTCTTGTGTAAAATCGCGCGGCAGGCTATGACGCGGAGCTGTCTCGAGACCTTCTGACGCCTCCGTAGCGCGGAGGGATGTGGACTCCTGTGGGTTGGGGCAGGTGGCACGGTCGCGCGCTCACGGTGTGGGCCACCTCAGCTGCACATCGGGGGCTCCTGGAGCCTCGCCTGACGCCGAGCCGTGGGGCTGCTGCCAAGTCCAGGACTGCGGACAGGCTCTACAGCTCTGCCGACCGCAAGGTGACCGCCATTAGTCTCTGATTAACCGTGTTTTAAAACTTGGGTGGGCCTTCCTTGCGAAAATGGAAGCGTGAAGGGCTTCCTAGACTACCTGTGAATCCAGGCTGAGATTCGATGAGGGAGGTAGAGCTAAGAGCGCGCCTTGCTCTCGGGTTTGTGAATCCTCCACAGCTCATCAAGGCGACCTTGGGCAAGTCACTTCACGAGTTTACTAGTTTGTAATGTCAGTAACTAATTTATTTGGTTATGCGAGGCACTGATGCAGGGACTTTGCGTGCATTTAATTCTCTTAAAAGCCTGCTGAAGAGGCCACTAGTGTAACCTCCGTTTTCCTGCAACTTACTAGCTCTGTGGCCTGGGGAAGCTACTTGAACTTTCCGTACCTGTTTTCTTCATTTGCTAAATGAGGTAAGAATAAAAGAATGGCTCTTCATGAGTCTTGTACTATGTAAGGCACAGAACTTTTTAGTCCAATATCTATAATGTAAGAAGTGCTGGGTATGCTTTAGCTTCTGTTTATTATTTTATTTTACGTGATCCAAAGCAAACTTGTTTTCTTAGTCTTTGTTCTTGTGGTGGAGAAGGTGAGGAATTCAGCAACTTTTTAAAAATACACTCTTTGTTTACTAGGAAGAGATACAATATAGGCAGAAAAGTAGAGTAATTAATTGAATGCAAGTTATGAGTACCTGGAAAAAATAAAACAAGTATGATAATTGCCCTCTTCTAAATTGTGGAACGTAAAATGGATTGATGTTGCAATTCAAAGTTCTTAAAAGTGGTGCAGTCCTGTATATCTTTTTAATTGAATGGCAATTGAAAGGGTGGTGTGGGAAATCCACTGGGCAAACAAATCAGGTTTAGTTTTTTTTCTCAATTTCTTTCAGATAGAAGTTGTACCTTCATCGTCTTCATTTATAAAACGAAAATGTAAAGCTCATGAGTATTGTGTATTTCATTGTAATTTTACTTTTTAAATGCTGATTATGGAATGGATTTGCTTGGAAAAATAAAATGTTTAGAGTACAAAAAAACTGACATTCAACTTGAATAACCATTTTTAGCAATTTGCAATGAGTCTTCATAAAATGTTAAAGAAGATGTATACAATTAAAAATCAGGAGTTACATTTTAAAATATTTTTAAATGTTAAGTGATGAGGTTTTTTGATTTTAGTTTTTTTTGCTGATTTCTTTTTTCTCTCTCTCCAAAGAAGTTGCCAATTAACCTGATTGCATGTAAATTAAACTTGTGACGATTCTGTTAGCGCAGATTTTTAAATAGATTTGACTGCTGACTAAATGTGTGATGGGGGAAAGAATTTCCTTTTTTTCCTTACAACTCTTCTGTAGCTTTTTTGCCTCAAGCAGTTTTATTAGACCAGGTGTTCTAAGGCTGTTCAGGAGTTCTAGGTATCTTGTGTTCTTCATTCATGAAAATAAATTCATTTCCTTACTGGCCCTCTAAGTGGTGGAAATATTTATAAGGGACTCTTCTTTAGCTAAGTTGTTACCTTGACAGTGAAACTGATGTATTTGATGAGTGCTGTTGTAATCAGTTGCTTGTAATTAGAGTTTAGCCATGCATCTTTTTATTGTCATAGGAATAATATGTTATAAATGAAATTGTTCAAGCTAAAGGAATAATCTTTGAATTAGTATACTTTTTTCATATAATGCAAAATGTATACTCATAAATGTTTTATTTTTCTTCCTTTTCTAGGAAAAAATTGACATGTCTAGATTCTCTGTTGAAAATATTAGAAATTTCAGTATCATTGCACATGTGGATCATGGCAAAAGTACTTTAGCCGACAGGCTCCTGGAACTAACAGGTATTTTCATTTTATGTTATATAGTTAATTGATAGCCATGAGTAATTAATCATCATTTTTACTATGCTTTTTAAAATTTTGGTTTTAATTTTATATGCAGTATAGTGTCTTTTTAAAAGCCCATCGAAATATTAATATTTCTCCTTATAGGCACAATTGATAAAACAAAAAATAATAAGCAGGTTCTTGATAAATTGCAAGTGGAACGAGAAAGAGGAATCACTGTTAAAGCCCAGACAGCATCTCTTTTCTATAATTGTGAAGGAAAGCAGTACCTTTTAAATCTCATTGATACACCCGTAAGTTTAATATTTTGTCTCTTGTTAAGTCAGCCTTGTATTAATAGTGCGCACAAATCCTTGTTCAGTTTTTGAACTGAACGTTAAACACTTTTTGTTTTCTCAGTGTTCTTATGTTTGAGTAAATTGTTTCACAAGTATAGGCCAAAAAAAGAAATGTATTAACTTTTTATCAAGGGGAGTCAGTAGATTTGCCATAATGCCCCTCCCTAAAAAAATTACAGCTAACTTTAGAAGTAACAATATTGGGCGCCTGAGTGGCTCAGTTGGTTGAGCGACTGCCTTCGGCTTGGGTCGTGATCCCAGAGTCCTGGGATCGAGTCCCGCATCGGGCTCCCGGCTCCGCGGGGAGCCTGCTTCTCCCTCTGACCCTCTCCCCTCTCATGCTGTCTCTCTCTCTCTCTCTCTCTCTCAAATAAATAAATAAAATCTTTAAAAAAAAAAGAAAGAAGTAACAATATTTTCTGTTTCTCAGGGCCATGTTGATTTTAGTTATGAAGTATCCAGGTCACTCTCTGCTTGCCAGGGTGTTTTACTTGTGGTTGATGCAAATGAGGTAGGTACTTTTAATTTTATGTGGTATGACATGCTATTCAGTTTTTTCAAGAGGTTTTCCTTAAAATATATTTTGGAAATAGAATTTTTGTTTGAAAATAGTAAGATTTATTGTATTACTTAAGCCAAAACATATGATTTGGTCCTGTTAATTTGAATTTCATTGCACTAAAGCAGGTTCATATTTTAAACACTTTAAGCTGATCGGAAGAATGAAGGGATTGTTGAAGTATATTATACATTCATCCTACCAAAACCTCCATTTTTAGCAGTTCTTAGTTTGGGGTTTTAATATTAATTTTTAGCAGAACTTGAAAATGAATCTATTTTGGAGGTCATTTGGGTGATTTTAAGGTAATAATTTGGGACGTGTTAAGTTTAAAGGAACATGTCAATAACATTACCAGGTTCTTGTGTGGTACAAAGATAACCATAAAAACATATTCATTGTTGATGTAAGACCTATGATGTCCTATTAAAGTAAACCTTTTGATATAATTTGGTTTCTCACAAACTTTTCATTCAAAACCCAAAATAATTCTTGTGTCACACCTTCCTTGTTCCTGTCAGGGAAAGTCAGTGTCTACCTTATATACATAGTACAGGATTCTATAAACCACCTCACATACTGTGTCCTTTAGTGGGCTTTCATGACCTTGAGGGTTCACGTTTCACCTTTTTTGTCTCCAGTAATGTTTCCCGAAATGAAAGGAATTTTCACAAGGAATTATCCAGATTCATGGAAGTATAGATACCATGCTTTACTTTATACCTCTGCTTTTGGTTAAGATGTATGGAATGGTCTTAAATTATAAGTTTTGTGATAGATGGTAGAATGGTCATATCAGTATCTTGTGCCTTGATATTTCTAGGGTATTCAAGCCCAAACTGTAGCAAACTTCTTTCTTGCCTTTGAAGCACAGCTGTTGGTAATTCCAGTTATAAACAAGGTAATTCTAATGGGACAAAAGTGTTTAGTATTTTATTTTCTAAAAGTGGATTTGGTGTTTGAGTATTAAGTATACTTTTTTTTATATGAGGAGTCTTCAACTATATATTAAATATTTTGGTAGGATTTATTTCTTTGAATTGCATGTGATAGAATTGCAACTCAAACTCCTATGTCCTTACAGGTAGTTGAGAAGACAGTCTGCCTGAATTGACATGGAGTGATTGAAGGCTATTTCTGTAGGAAAGGAGTATGTGCAGGGCAGCCAAAAAAATAGTTTATCACACTAAAACATATATTGGAAAAGAAAAAGCACTTATGACTTTGGGGAAAACAATGTAACACATGAAACATAACAGTTAAGTGCTAAGCTGAGTGCTGTTAATAAACCATAACTTTTCTATTTTGAAATTAATAAAAAATCTTAATTTAAAAATCTGCATTATGGGGCGCCTAGGGGGTCAATTGGTTGAGTGTCCGATTCTTGGTTTCAGCCCAAGTCTTAAACTCAGGGTTGTGAGTTCAAGTCCTGCGTTGGGCTCTGCTGGACATGGAGCCTACTTTAAAAAAAAAACAAAAAACACTGCACTGCATTCAGTTGAATTTTTTTTATAATGGAGTTAAGTTTAAAAGAGGCAAAGTTGCTTATGGTAAGACAGTTTGTTGTCATAAGTTACATCTAACTTACGAAATCAGTTTACATGGTGTTGGTTGATAAATTGTTATTGAACTCTTACACCTTGAATTGCCAGCTGTCTACATTTTTTGCATGCTCTGCTCTGCCTGCTCTCTGTTTTTCAGTGGCCGTACTTGTTAAAATTATATTGCCTATATCTAGATTATTTTAACACTTTTGGAAAGAAAAATAGAGGGATTAGTTATAGGTATGCTTTTAACTGTCTCTGAATGCTATTAATATGTAATACATTTTATTTTTACTGTGTTAAGACATAATGAATTTTTTTTCTTAAGATAGATCTGAAGAATGCTGATCCTGCAAGGGTTGAAAAGCAAATTGAAAAAGTGTTTGATATTCCAAGTGATGAATGTATTAAGGTAAAATACCCTTTTTCTTGAAGACATAGTTATACTTTAAAAAATCTCATGGGGCGCCTGGGTGGCTCAGATGGTTAAGTGTCTGCCTTCAGCTCAGGTCTCGATCCCAGGGTACAGGCTCCTGGCTGAGTAGGGAGCCTGTTTCTCCCTCTCCCTCTGCCTCTCCCCCTGCTCATGCTCTCTCTCTGTATCTCTGTGTCTCGAATGAATAAATAAAAAAATCTTAAAAAAATCTCAGGTATTGGCCTAAGTGAAATTTCATAGTATTTGGTAGCCCATCGGTATATAAAGTTTTCATAGTTTTGCAAAGTTCTTTTTACTGATATTTCATTTGATCTTCACCAAAAATCCTTGTTACATGGTTAGGACAGATAAGAACTGTTCTTGCGATCCAGTTGAAAGAACTAAGGAACAAAGGTTTTATCACTTTCTTAAGATTCGAAGGTATTGAAAATTATTCAAAGTTAAAGGATTTAATTAAGTGAGGAAAATAAACTGATCAGGTTGCCTTATAGAGAATTCATTAGAAAACAATAAGCGATAAGGGGAAACCAGCTTCCCGTAATAGCTCAGGTTCTGTGGAGGTGGCTAAGTATGTGATTGTGATGCTGGAGAAGTGGGCGAATTTAATGTATATTTGTAGATAGGAGAGATTTGCTGGTGGGTTACATGTAAGGAAGTGAAATAAAGGGAAGAATCAGGTAGCTTTGGGTTTAAGCAAGTGGTTGATACTAGACGTTAATATCGATAGGAGGAGGAGCTGGAGAGGAAATGATACAGGCGAAAAGGAAAAGCTTTGCTTTGGACGTAGTGGGTTTGAAATGTCTATTAGACATCCAAGTAGGGATATTATATAAATCTACAATTCAGGCATTCATGGAGAGAATTGGGGTCAGACATAGATACTTAGGAGTTTTTAACATGTATGTGGTATTGAGGCCTTGTAAACGAATGTGGTTTCCTAGGGAGAAGTGTAGAGAAAAGGTCCTAGAAGCCAAACTACATTATTGTCAATTTGAGGGCATTATGAGTAAGAGCTTGAGAAGGATTAGAATAGGATTCAGAATAGAAAGTGTGGAAAGATTGAGTCTTCAGAGAAGGGGGAATAATTCTCAGATTGTAATGAGAGACCGCAAAATGGTTACGAGTATAGATACAGACAGATTTGTTTATTTGGATAAGGGAGTTGTGGTGTTTTCTGTTTCCTTAAATGAAATAACAGGCTAAGTCATCAACCAAGCGTGAATTGGCCAGAGGGGAAAACATGTAGATTGAAAAGGAAGGTGGTGTGAAACACCTTACTGAGTGGTAATGTGAATTTACTACAGGACGCATCCTGGGAAGTTAGGAAGTTTAACTGCACATTGAGATGTGTGGTCATGAGTTCACAAGAAGCCCGCCAGACCAGTTACTTGTTTTTCTCCAGTAATGTTAAGCCCTTTGTATTATAGGCATAGAAAAGACACATTGTTGGGGCACCTGGGTGGCTCATTCAGTTAAGTGTTTTACTTTGGCTCAGGTTATGATCTCGGGGCCTTGGGATCCAGCCCTGTGTTGGGCTCCATGCTCTGCAGGGAGTCTGCTTCTCCTTCTCCCTCTGTCCCTCCCCCCTGCTTGTATTAACTCACTCGCTCTCAAATTAATGCAGTCTTAAAAAAAGACAAGACACATTGTTGGAAGCAGTCACATTTGAGTTTTACCAAACTTACGGTAGGGAGAGAATAGATAGTGGTTGAACTGTGATTGTAAATAGTGGACCCTGGAGTTTCAGCTGGGAAAGGAGGGGGCTGGGGGCTAATGGATAGTGAAAAAAGGTAGTCCATTCAATGGTTTAGAGATGGGAACTTGATGGATTGTTGCAAAGAATGTACTGGAGTCTAGAGCAGTGGTTCTCATTAGGGGTAGTTTTGTCCCCTAGGAAACATTTGGCAATATCTGGAAATGATTTTTGTTGTCATACTGGGGAGTGGGTGCTACTGTCATCGTGTGGGTAGATGACATTCCATAGATTCTGTTAAACATTCTACAGTGCACAGAACAACCCTTAAAACAATTATCAGCCCAAACTGTCCTTAGTGCTGACTTGAGAAACTGATCTAGAGAGAGTTTAAAGGTTAAGAGGTGGTTTTTAGGAAATGGGTTTTAAAATCAAGATTTCAAGGGCGCCTGGGAGGCTCAGTTGGTTAAGCGACTGCCTTTGGCTCAGGTCATGATCCTGGAGTCCCTGGATCGAGTCCTGCATCGGGCTCCCTGCTCAGCAGGGAGTCTGCTTCTCCCTCTGACCCTCCCCCCATCTCATGTGCTTTCTCTCTCTCTCATTCTCTCTCTCTCTCAAATAAATAAATAAAATCTTTAAAAAAAAAAAATCAAGATTTCAAGAGGCAGTCCAGTTACTAGTGAAGACAAAGGTGAGTCATACCTGTGTTTTTTGAGTCTTCATGCTCATTCTCTCAGTGGGAGAACCATAGTAGTAATATGCCTTGTAACTACATGTGTATCATCCACATATATTGTTTATTCTCTTTACACAACAATCTTGAGATTTAGAAAAAATATAAATGATCATTTATTAGATGAGGAACTTGAAGCTCAAATACATATTGGTCAAAGTCATACAGTCTATACAGAATTGTAACTGTTACTCAGATTTTTTTAAACTCTTAGACCACTGCTCTTTCAGTACCATAATCAGAATGCTTTTGTAATTTAATCCAAGAACCATAGACTTACCTAATTGTAATGGAAGGACATTTGTCAGTGTAGCATATGCTTTGTGCTTCCTTTTATTACTTTATTCAAATTGATAACTGTTAGAATTTTCTTTTTTCTGATTATAAAGCTCAGTCACCTGGATTGAAAAGTATCTTTAAATCTTTATTTTTTTAATACATATTTTTTCAGATTTCTGCTAAACTTGGAACTAATGTTGAAAGAGTTCTTCAGGCAGTCATTGAAAGAATACCACCGTAAGTATTTTGCTATTTTTGTGCTGTTTATCTTTAATAGTACAAAGGCCATCAGTCTGACTTATAATTTTAGATTAGACCATTCTTGTAGTGAGTGAAAATACATTATTTTTATTATGCATAGAAATCAAGCACAGTATAGGGAAAAAAAAGCAAACAAGGGTGATTGTGTTCTCTTCCTAATCATTGTAATAAAGAGACTTGAATAAATTAGCAGTTACTGTGTTTTAATACTGAATAAATGTATTTCATCAGTTTCATAAATCATCTTAAAATTATTTATTTTAAAGATTTTATTTATTTATTTGACAGAGAGACAGCGAGAGAGGGAACACAAGCAGGGGGAGCAGGAGAGGGAGAAGCAGGCTTCCCGCTGAGCAGGGAGCCTGATGCAGGCCTCGATCCCAGGACCCTGGGACCATGACCTGAGCCGAAGGCAGACGCTTAATGACAGAGCCACCCAGGCGTCCTTAAAACAGTCATTTAAAACTCAAGGTTGAAATAAAACTAATATAAAAATAGGCATTGTACTTTAGGAAGATCTTTTTATTTTGGCTGTCACTTGGGTGACTTTTTCAGGTATTAGAATAAATTAAGCATAATATTTGATTTTAAAATAGGCATTTTATTAAGATTTTAATTTATTCTGTGTATATTTTCTTTTTACTTATTTTTAATAGTCCCAAAGTGCATCGCAAAAATCCCCTGAAAGCTTTGGTATTTGATTCCACATTTGACCAATATAGGGGTGTGATAGCCAATGTAGCATTATTTGATGGAGTGGTTTCCAAAGGAGATAAAATTATATCTGCACATACTAAAAAGACATATGAAGTTAATGAAGTGGGAGTTCTGAATCCTAATGAGCAGCCAACACATAAACTGTAAGTAATCTGCAGTAGCAATTAAAATATATTTGTATGTGTTTTGATCTCTGCCTTTCTCAGCTTGGTATGCTCAGAATGATCCCAATTTGGTAACTCAGGAAAAAAAACCCAGACTGATTATTTAATGCAACTAAATAGTAAATGCTTTTGCAAGGGGACTCTCATGTGTGAAGGACAGTATAAATTTGATATATTTTTATTCCTTTTGACTAGTCATAACAAATTTTATGATCTGGTGCACATTGGGTCCTATATTGATGAATTTGATGAGACAGTGAAAGAGATAGTTCTCTCACCCATATCCAAATCATACTGGGTATCAATTTTGATATTTAATTTTTTTATAATTAGATTTTTCAACATAGAAGTAGTGAAGAAAATTTGGTAATTTTTTCCTTTTGTATGGAATTCACAGTAAAACTTTGATTAGAATCCATGACAGGTGGGGTTAGCAAGGTGTAGTGTGCATTGGAAAAACTGAATTTGAGTTCACTTACAAATACTTGAGTGCCTGCTCCATCAGTACTCCAGGTACTGATGAGATAAATCATCTGGCACATACTTGGAGCATTCTAAGGTCTTTGTTTCCTCATCTGTAAAAATTAAGGTAGTAAGTATATAGGTCACACTTGATAGTTTAATGTATGTCTAAAACCAGTACTATTTTGCTTATTACATTTTTTATTTAATTGAGTCATAAAGTCTATTTTAATTTTACTCAAATATTTCCAAAGTCTGTGTTCCATCATATAGTTCATACTGACCATTACTGTATCTTAAGATTCTGATACCTTATCCTAAACGTAAATTAGTTTGTTATCATGTAGGAAATTTCCTTTAAAAAAAACAACAAAAACTAAGCTAAAACTCTGAAATCTTGGGATGTGCTCTTTTCCTACAAGAGGAATAGCAGATTGGTGTCAGATTTGTTTAGAGTTCACATTTTTCTGCTTGGTTAAAAATTTATCTTTTTTTTTTTTTTTTAAAAACACATTAGTGACACAACTCATTAATAAAATAGTGTTTTACACTACAAGAAGTTATTTTGTGTTTCTGCACTTAGTTTCACTATGTTTACATTATATTTTAGAAGCTGTTTAATATGCAAAGGTGGGCAGAGTCAGGAGGAAGGCCGTAGACTTGTGTTGCAGAGGCCCTTGATAATGGACTGTAAGGCATGGTATGTTCTTTTGCTGACAGTTTAGCATTGAGAATTGATATGTAGTACTTTGAATTAGATGAGGTTTTGTTTGGAAAATGTAATCATTTCCGGGAAAGGTAGAGCTAATTGTTGAGTATGCACTTGAAACATTAAAGCGGTAAATATTTCCATATAATAATTTTATTTAGATATGCAGGACAGGTGGGCTATCTGATTGCTGGGATGAAAGATGTCACTGAAGCACAAATAGGAGATACATTGTATTTACATAAACAACCAGTGGAGCCCTTGCCTGGGTTTAAATCAGCGAAACCAATGGTATTTGCAGGTGAGGAGCTCACAAATTCAAGGATGAGGGCCAGTTTATTCTTTAAATTAGAAATATTCATTTTAAATAATAGCTAATTCCAGAATACTATATTTCTTTTAGTTTTTTTGTGTGCTATTTATGTATCAGTTAATTTCATATGTATAGTGAAACTTTATGTGGGAGATCATTTCCTACATTTTTTTAGAACCTCTTAAAAAGTATAAGCTCTTAAAACAAACAAGCTCTCTGATATATAAAAGAACATAGTGATATGAATTTCCTTTTTGTTTCCCTAGAGAGTAGGTCATTGCATTTGGAATATTTTTCTAGTTAGGATGTTTTCATTACTAATTGTCAGTGGACATTTACTGACTGCCTTCCTGTTGGACTTTCTTTAATATTGTACAGTACTGCTGTACACATGGCAGAGGATAGTGTTACCTCTCATATTCATGACTTCACAACTTTTAACTACTGTGTGGTGTTACAGACACTTGGAAAAGGAAGGCCTGATTGAAGGTCGTCAAGTTACTCTGTGCTGGGTATCCTCCACTTTTCTCCCTTTGTATCTGTCTCAGGGAAATATGAAGTTTGTTTACCCCCACGTTTAGGCAAAGCCAATCATTTGAATTTTGGAGGACTTGAGAGATGAGGACTAGAGGTGTCAGATGAAAAAGAATCTGATGAATCAGTAATTGTATGGTTTTTGTTGGTGAATTGAGAAAAGCAAAATTTATCTTTGATTTTAATAGATTATCTGCCCTACAGAACTCAGTGTAGCTTTCATTTCTACTTCTGTTTTTCATCTACTAAGGGAGTTTCATTTGTGGTTGTGGGATGTCTTCAACTTTTGTTTCTTGAAATAATGTATTTTTCTAATAGGCCTGATTCCCATGGTTCTTTTTAATTTTTCTTATATTTTTGCAAAAGCATAAAAATATCACTTGGGTTGTGAATCCATTTGTAAATTCATTAAGGCTTTGAAACTTGCACAGTACTTTGACGCCAATGTAACTTAATATTCAGTTTCTTTAGCAAACCAATTATAGTGGTCAGTGAAATATAGGGAAGTAATTTAAAAGCTAAATGATTAATTTTGATCTTGGAAGCATTGTATATTTAGTTTTTAGGCAGATTTTCACAGGTGATAATTAGAAATCATTGTGTTCTCAGGAATGTACCCTATAGACCAATCTGAATATAATAACCTGAAGAGTGCTGTAGAAAAACTGACTATAAATGATTCCAGTGTGACAGTTCATCGGGATAGTAGCCTTGCCTTAGGTGCTGGCTGGAGGTAAGATTCTTTTCCCTGTAGGATCAAATTTTTATTGAAAAGTGAAGTTTAAGTGGTTCATTGCTCCTGAACATTTCATTTCTGAAGATAAGTTCTTATTCGTATAAAGTGAACCAAAACAAGTATATGTCTGTTTCACACTGTATTCATGTTCTATGGGTAAGCTTTATAGCAGTTTTAAATAGAATTCCAATAGAAATTTTTCTTTCTTTTTTTTTTCTTGAAATTTTGAATCTTAAGTTTTGCTAGCATTTAATTATGATGTGAATTGCTTGAATGACTTTTTTTTTTGGAATGAGTTTTGATTCTACCCACCCCCCACAAAGTAACACTATATTCGTCAAAGAAACCAGGGCCCATGAGACATAAGCATTTTGGAGTTTGGCTTTTTCTCCCCCAGGTTGGGATTTCTTGGACTTTTGCATATGGAAGTTTTCAACCAGCGACTGGAGCAAGAATATAATGCTTCTGTAATTTTGACAACCCCAACTGTTCCATATAAAGCTGTTCTTTCGTCAGCAAAATTGATAAAGGTACTGTTGTGAACCAGCAAACAAGGGAAAACGAAATACGTGTATGTATGTATGTGCAGAATGCAAGAGAAACTTTTTAGTACACCATTAGCTGACTAGCTATTACATGAAATCTCTGATTAGTAGCATTTAAAAATTGAATTACTTTATGACTAATGATGGAGAAGCCACTTGAGAACTAATTTATGCAGTATTTTTCTTAACCTGATAGAAATCTATATATTGTCAATACTAGCCTGTTACTGAGAGTAAAATGTAGAATTAGTAATTAAAATGCTGTCTAAATCCAGTACAGAAATGAAGAATATAATTTGGTCATAAGTAGTTTATCTTATGAAAGGTGAAGTATTCATTGCTATCTGGCTGTAGGAAATTTTAGATTTCAAGGTAGTGGTAGAGACAGTATTCCATCTGAATGGCAGTCTCTTCATTTTAAACAAATTTTAACTTTGGTGTCTGTAAATATTTTCCAACAAAATTAACTTAGGAAACTACTGATAATGCCTTATAAAGGGCAGATTAAAATGTGCTTTTACATCATACTTTTTCTAAGTGGTACATGAGATGTGTTTAGTAGATGTCGATGAACAAGATATGTTACTTATTAAAAAATTTTAAGTGGTTACAATTGGGTGGTTTTTAAAATACAAGGCATGTCAAGATACTAGCCTAAGTTTTAGGAATTCTTTTGTTTTTATTCAGCAAATGCAATTATAAATAAATTCTAACATTTACTATAAATTAAAAGCAAATTTTAAAACATGGTAATTAAGACTTTTAGCTGTTGGTGATTTTTCTTATTTTTAGGAATACAGAGAAAAGGAAATTACAATCATCAATCCTGCACAATTCCCTGATAAATCAAAAGTAACAGAATATTTGGAGCCAGTTATTTTGGGTACAATTATCACACCAGATGAATATACTGGAAAAGTAATGATGCTTTGCCAGGTATGATACAATTTAATATAAAAGTAAATTTTAGTCCTAACAGTGGTTTCCCCGTCAGGTTTTGAAAGATTTTTCTCTGTAGAACACATTGAATTTGTAGGAAATTTTCATAAAAATCTACATCTATGTGTGTGTGTATATATATACACACACACACAATAGAGAAGTAGATATAGATACACTTTTAAAATAATTTTGACTTTAAGAAAAATAGAAACTGAATTTTGATCATCCGTGTTAATTTACTGAGTTGATAGCCCAAAGGAAAGAAATTTGATGCTTATTTATACTGACTAGCTAAAAGAATAGTTTTTTTTAGCCTTTATAGTACTTGAAATTGAGGATAGTTTGAAAGATTACTATAATACTTGAGACTTTTGACTAAAGGGTGGGTATTCCCCATTTTGCCTTAGTTTTTGCCACAATGTAATAAATGACTTAATCCACAAATCATAACCCTCAACAAAACTATTTGAAGTGCTCTGACATGGGGCGCCTGGGTGGTTCAGTCGTTAAGCGTCTGCCTTTGGCTCTGGTCATGGTTCCAGGGTCCTGGGATCCAGCCCCACATCGGGCTCCCTGCTCCACGGGAAGCCTGCTTCTCCCTCTCCCACTCCCCCTGCTTGTGTTCCCTCTCACGCTATATCTCTGTCAAATAAAATCTTAAAAAAAAAAAAAGTACTCTGACATATTGGAAAGAACTCTCAGATGATTACTAGTGGACTTGCATTTTTTTTTTTTAATTTTTATTTTTTTTAAAGATTTTATTTATTAACTTGACAGAGACACAGAGAGAGAGGGAACACAAGCAGGGGGAGTGGGAGAGGGAGAAGCAGGCTTCCCGCGGAGGAGGGAGCCCGATGTGGGGCTCGATCCCAGGACCCTGGGATAATAACCTGAGCCAAAGGCAGACGCTTAACGACTGAGCCACTCAGGTGTCCCTGGACTTGCATTTTAATTCTGTAATCACAAACTAGAAAACTTTAGTTACTTGCTTAATTTCTTTGGACCTAAGTTTGTTTGTAAAACAAGAAATTAGAACTTTGACGTTATTTGTAGTTACATTTGGTTTATCATTAAATACTATATAATTTTAAAAAGATAAAATTGTTAGATAAAGACAAAGGATTAAAAGCTTTGGTAATAATATAATTGAAATACGAAATAGTTCTCTTTGTATTATAAGTATTTGCAAGTTTTTAGTAGACCATTAAATATTCCTTCATTTTGCCCTCTATTAGGATTTGTAAGGAAATTTTTAGGTTGGTAATTGACATCTTTCTATATTCATTGTAAATCATTTAAATAGGTTATCATTAAACACATTTTTCTTTTTTAGGCTCGAAGAGCAGTTCAGAAGAATATGATGTATATTGATCAAAATAGAGTTATGCTTAAATATCTCTTCCCTTTGAATGAAATTGTGGTGGATTTTTATGATTCTTTGAAATCCCTGTCTTCTGGATATGCTAGGTAAAAATTTAATGGGAAATTCAGATACCTGGATAACTTTTTTGAAATACTGACCGACCTGAGTATGCTAATACTCCACTTATTTAATAATCTGTGCTCTCTTGAAGATGGTGGAGAAGGATAGAAAGGCTTGAAGCAACCTTAAAAGTGTTAGAGAGTACTCATAATTTGCTTATGGAAGAATGAATTCCTTCCGTTCATCAAACTATTACCCTTCCTTTAATAAAATTAAAAAAAAAAAAAAAGTAGTGTCCTCTTCATGAAAGAGTATATTCCCCTGTTAGAAATTATACTTAATTTCAAGAAGCTACTGTGATCTTAGTGGTACATTGTATTTGTGTGTTATGTAATCCTGGGAGCACCTGTATGTATTTGGAAAACAGAAGTACATATTTAGTTTCAGAAATGCCAGGTGTGCCCCTGTATCTGTGAACACTCTAATAACTTGGTCTTCTCCAGAATAAGTGGTCCACATTATGAAAACCATTGTCTCGTCCCCAGGAATGCATGGAGAAACAGCCTGATAGAAGTGAAGGAAGATTTAATACTTACTAACAAAGAACTCCATGCATAGCATTTTGGGAGTATTTTCTGTTGGGGTAAATAACTCTAGATGCACTTAGTATCCTAAAATCTTATGTTATTGGATAGCATATATTGGAATATAAAGAAAATATAAAATACACTGTGAAGTGGGGAAAATGAACATTCATATCTGTAAAATACACATGCACCTACATGCATGTGCAGGCATATTTAATATTAACATTCAAAGAAAAATTCCACTGTTCAAAGAACATGTGACAGTGACCTGGAAATTTAGCTTTATGAAATGAGCTTTAGAATGAAAGTCGTGATTGATATAAAGGAGTGTTCTTTGTGTTTGTATTGAGAAATTACTTTTTCTACTTTTTCACCCAATTTTTTTCTTCCGTGTCTTCTTTTAGACAAGAACTTAAGCAAATAAGTGGCAGTGGGGTTTAAAGTAAAACAAATTGAGGCAGCATGTTGTTAAAAAACAATTATTGTGGGGGCGCCTGGGTGGCTCATCAGTTATGCGTCTGCCTTCGGCTCGGGTCATGATCCCAGGGTCTTGGGATTGAGCCCCGCGTGGGGCTCCTTGCTCGGCGGGAAGCCTGCTTCTCTCTCTCCTGCTGTCCCCCTGCTTGTGCACTCTCTCTCTCTGACAAATAAATGAATAAAATCTTTAAACAAAACAAAATTATTGTGGTTAAAAGAATGATTACTAAGCTAAGTGTTTATAAACGTTTTTAACAAAGTCTGTCAATTGTAGTTTGCATTTGGATGCCACTTTATGAGTTAAGTGGGCTTAAAATCTTTTAGCTTAGAAACTTAAACATACTTCAGATTAAATCAAAGAACATGTTTAATTTTGAACTATGTAAAAATAAAATAATGCCAGCTTCCAGAATTAAGGTGATTCTTATGTTCAAGATGGATCCTTTTTACATATATTCAGTTCCTAACAATAAAAATGCATCACAGTCTGTGACCTAGCCCAGGCCATCGGCCTCTTGTGGACTGAGATAAGGAACAATTTCTCTTATGCCAGGTGGCAAGAATCTTCTGCAGCTGGGTCAGAAGAAGGATTCCTTTGTTATATGAAGACTGTAGTGAGGCTGCTTCTGATACTTAACTTGATGGAACTGTTTGTCCTTAAACCCCCCAAGTAGCCTTTTGGAGTCCTAAAACTGTTTCCTGCGTTTCAGGGGTACACTTGAATGAATAACTGTTTTGAGTAGAGGTTAGGTTTCCATTTGGCTGTCTTGGAAGCACAGACACTTGTTTAATGATTTCTTTTGAAAAAATGAGTGGAAAAATTCTAAAATTTTGGAACACTGAAGATTTTAAAGTGGTAAACAGGTGAAGTCTAGGGACTATGTCTAGGTTTTTTCTTTCTTTGTATTCTGCGTAGTACTTAAGATGGTATCTTTTTTTTTTAAGATTTTATTTATTTGACAGAGACACAGCGAGAGAGGGAACACAAGCAGGGGGAGTGGGAGAGGGAGAAGCAGGCCTCCTGCTGAGCAGGGAGCCCCATGTGGGGCTCGATCCCAGGACTCTGGGATCATGACCTGAGCCAAAGGCAGATGCTTAACGACTGAGCCACCCAGGCGCCCCAAGATGGTATCTTTCATATAGTAAACACTTAATGTTTGTTGAAGAAAGGATTTTAGCAAAACTTTAGGTAATAATATGGTTTTAGAGAGTATCAGTATCAATTTGTGACGTTCCCGGTAAAGGTTTAGAAACCAAATACTTGCAGCTCTAGGCATCAGTTTGTTTTAAGATTAAGACAGTTTAGGACTGTACATGTTCTTATCCATAATTGAAAAGACATGTAAGCATAATTAAAGTTTTCTTTCTCCTTAGACTTCAGCTTTGAGAGTTAAACGTGTTTTGATTAGCATTGTAAGCTTTGACCATATTGTTTAATAGTGATAGCTGACGCTAACCAAGTGCTTTTATGTGCTAAGCTAGGCTCTGTTCTAAACACTGTTTTTGTATTAGGTACTGTTCCAATGCTTTACACGTATTAACTTATTTCATCCTCAAAAAAGCCCCGTGAAGTTTCAAACCGAAGAGTAGTATATGAAATCCAGAAGTCTTATTTATAGTGACTCTTTATCAGTGCCATAGCATTTATTTAACTGGTAATAGAAAGCTAAACAGAAACCCAAACTTAATGAATCTCTGAGAATGACCCATTAATATATACTGTTGTCGACAGCCAGCCAGCTCTTGGGAGGAAACATTGGGAAGAAGGTGACATTTGCCTTCAGTGTCCCATTTTCCTAGACTGGCTTACCGGTTTATTTTCCTTTCCCCTGTAAAGCATGCAGGCCTTGCTTTTGCCTTTCATTTCATAAATGTAAAAAGATGAGGGAGTTTGTTGCTCACTGTGGTCATCTACATCCGTTTATGTGAAATGTATATTTAGTATTTTTATAGAAAGTTAGATCTTTGGGTGGGGTGTATGGGGATGGGTAGAAAAAAGATGTTTTGCAAAGAAAAATCATACAACCTCTTGGGAAGTATGTTGATCTATCACTTGGATGTTTTTCCTTGTTAGTTTTGATTACGAAGATGCAGGCTACCAGACTGCAGACCTTGTAAAAATGGATATTCTACTGAATGGAAATCTTGTAGAGGAGCTGGTAACTATTGTACACAAGTAAGTTGAATAGAAACTAATCTAATGTGGAAGTAACCAGTTTTGACATGTTTTTATTTAATTATTGATTGCTTATTTTTATTTGACAGCTACGTTTTGAAAACTCAAGTTTCCTTGTACTAGTTTTTCCTTCCATTCTTTTTCCATGCTTCTCTTTTCAAACTGTTAAATATGAAAGAATAGAATTAAAATAGCCGAGAAGAATAGTGTCATGGAAAGAACTGTTTCCCTCACCAGGGTAAGAAAAGTAGAAGAAATGGTTATAAACTTTATGGTAGATTTAAAATTGAGAACAAAAAGGTTTTTATATTCATAAAAAATTTTATATTAATGAAAAATGAAATATCCTATATGTTCAGCAAATAGAGTGATAAAAATAATGGAGCACCTATTTAATAATCCTGTTAAGCTATTAAAACTTTACTGTGAAGTAATCTTAAGTGACATAAAAATGCCTATTAAATAAAAGGGTAGACATATATACACTCTGATTCAAACTAAAATATCAAACATATGCAGAAAAATAACGGGAGGATATATGTTTAACATAGACATTCTAAAATGTTTAATACTGGTTTTCTCTGGTTGAAGGGAAGGGCATCAAAAATGGTTTTTATGTATGTTTTTCTACATTTCCTATGATGGTCATAATGTTATTTTTGCAATCAGAAAAGTCATGTGATTCATAGTAAGGGATGTTTATGACAAATGAGTTCCATTTGAACCTCCTTGAGAAATCACCTTTACATTGATTATGTATATGGACTAGAAAGGTACTTTAAATATTCATACTTAGGATATGTAAACAGTTGCATTTTCTCTCTCAGAGACAAAGCACACACTGTTGGCAAAGCCATATGTGAACGTCTGAAGGAGTCTCTTCCTAGGCAGCTGTTTGAGATAGCAATTCAGGCTGCTATTGGAAGTAAAATCATTGCAAGAGAAACGTGAGTTGAAATTCATTTTTGTTCTCTGTTTTAGAAATGGTAAATGGTTAGAAATGATAGGACTAGAACTGTATTATGAAATAATATTGAAAAATTTAACTTCACGTTGGCCTTAATTAAGCCTTATTCTTATTTGTAGAAACACTAATCTGATTTTTAATTCCACTTAATTGATAACTGTTAGTGATTTACTTAACACTGAGTGATATTATTTATAATAATATAATGGGCATGGGTTTGAGGAATTGCTTTATTTCCATTCATTTTACTGAATGATTACTGAATTTCCTGGGTAAGGTATAATTTATAAGCTAATAGCAACTGAAACTTAAGAAGTTTTGAGGGGAAAAAAAAAGTTTTGGAGATATTCTTCCAAAAGACAAAACTAAATTACGATTTTTACTTGAAGCATTTAATGTCATTTCTCAGATCTAGCCAAATTAGAAATCAGAGATGACAGAGGAATGCTGTTATGTTGAGCTTTGCATTGTAGATTGATTATGTAATCTGTAGTAGACATGGAAAATAGGCTAATTTATGTAGGAAACTGGTCTTTTTTATGAGAGATATGATCAGAACATGGAATAAGCTGCTCTACTAGGTAACAGTAAATGCAGGAAGTACCATGCAGCATATTTCCTTGACTCCTGGAAAATCAGAAGTACCCCCTAGCTGGAAATTGCTATTCAGTTGTAGTTTAAACCCAAACCTACATGTATTAGTAGTGGTGGAATTACAACCAACATTTTTACATAGTCTTGGGACAAATTTTATGCCTATATTTGCAGTGAATTTCATTTCCTAGCACAATTTTGCTTTAGTTAATTGTTTTGAGTTTCATGAGTTACCCAGAGATTAGGCAGAGTAGAGTTGATAACCAGGGAACATCCTGGAAAGTACAATTTAAAATAGCAAATAATTCTAACATAATTGTGTTGGGGTTGGAAGATAGCTTAGAGAAAAAAAAAATAGATTTTTATATCTTCTTAAGGAATACATATAAATGGAACTTTTTTCAAATTTCTTATCTTCCAAATTTCTTAGAAACACTATAGAAATAGATTAGTTTGTATCTGCTTGGGTGGATATATTAAAATTATTTAGTTTGCCCTGAAAAGGGGTTTATAAAAGTAATATATTTTTTTACATTCCTAGTCACTCTTAACCCACAAGTGGTAGAGTTAGTAATGTGATGATAACCATTTTTAAATTTTTTGGAAATAGTAGTGGTAAGAACAGTTTTAGGTTGAGCCAGAAATGACCTTGTATAATTCTTATAATTAAGGTTATACTTACTCTTGAATTTGGCCTAATCAAGACTACCCACAAGCCATGACCTTTTTTATCTTAATAAAATTTATGTTGATGTTCATGTTGAATCCATTTTCTACTTTATGTCAAATACATAAAAATAGATAAAAGAGCATTTGACCTATCTATTTATGGCAGTTTTACTTAGGTATGACATGATTATTTAAATCTTGAAAGTGGAGATTGTTTTAGAAAATAAAATTCTTTTTTAAAGAGTACATTGAAATTACATAATTTTTATATAAAATTTCCTCTTTTTACAGTGTGAAAGCTTATAGGAAAAACGTTTTGGCAAAATGTGTACGTATCTGCCTGTATTCTACTTTTTATTAATATATCTGTTTTCATGAGTTTAAAATCAGAGGGGGGTATATATTGGTTTCCATTGTTTTTACAATAACCATTTCATCTCCAGTTTTCTTTTTAAATAGGTAAATCTCAGCTTGACTGTTAATATATTCATTTTGATAACATTCTTATTTTTCCATCTTCTTTATAAAAATTTCCTTTTATGAAGTACTACCCAATAAATTATTTTTGTAATAGTTATGATCAGGATAACATGTTTTATTGATCTAATTTATAAGGAGAAATTTTGAAGACAATGACTGTGTCTTATAGTGGGAAGAGTATGGCAATTTGAAATCCACCTCTCCTACATTGCTTTGCCGTTTGGGTCCCTTTTATTAAAAAAAATTTTTTTTTTAAAGATTTTATTTGTGTGACAGACACAGCGAGAGAGGGAACACAGCAGGGGGAGTGGGAGAGGGAGAAGCAGGCTTCCCGTGGAGCAGGGAGCCCGATGCGGGGCTCGATCCCAGGACCCTGGGATCATGACCTGAGCCAAAGGCAGACACTTAATGACTGAACCACCCGGGCACCCCCCCTTCTATTAAAATTTCTTAACTCAGTTATGACAAGTAAATAGTAAATGCTTTTTCTAAATCCTTAGTGTCAGGACTGGCAGTGTGAATTTATTAGATGGCTATATGATCCAGAATTTTAAGACTTGAATCAGTAAGAGGATAATATTCTTCTTGACATTTATAATATAATATAATATTGGGTTTCCTTGGTAATCTTCATCTCCATCCAAAAAATAAATAAAGCCTTTATCATTCTTCGAAGATGTTAAATTATGATCTGCTGTGAAGGTGATTAGAAAGGTAACTTTGCAGATGTCTACCTCCTGGGTAATAATTGTAAGGTTATTATAATTGTATTGATGTCTGTATGCAATTGTATGATTTTCTGTGGAGTGATTTGGACTTCCAGTTTTTAAAAATATTTTTCAGTATGGTGGTGATATTACCCGAAAAATGAAACTTTTGAAGAGACAAGCAGAAGGAAAGAAAAAACTGAGGAAAATTGGCAACATTGAAGTTCCAAAAGATGCTTTTATAAAAGTTCTAAGAACACAACCTGATAAGTAATTGGTGGAAAAAAATACAGTGAATTTTCATAAATTAAAACTTGTGTATCTTTTAATTTTTCATAGCAATTTATATGTTGACAAAAGAATGAAAATTATTAAAATTTGCTTGTTACTTTTTCAGGGTTTTTAGGTTTAAATAACCTATTAGCTCTTTGAAAAGTAAGTAGTGGGCAGGTAAGAGCTTGGATTCTGAAACCATATTGTCTGGTTTCAAATTTCTGTTCTGCCACTCACTAGCAAGGTAAATTACTACTTAACCTCTCTGTTTACTCTTTAGTGAAGTCAGGATTATACTGTTATTTACCTCCATAGGTTGTTGTGAAGATTGTATCAGATAGTATGTTTAAAATAGAAGAGTGTATGACACGGTACTGTTCAGTGAATCTTAACTATTTTGTTTTCAGGCATATTTTTTTTACACTAAAAGGCCCCATACTTTAGATTCTATCTAGTTCAAGCCTAAGCTAAAGTATTTTCAAAATCACCTAAGTATCAATTTGTTGTTAACTGGAGAAATTTAGATTTATAGGAGTCAGTTTTCAAATAAAGTCAAATAGCATTCTAGCTGGACATGTGCTGTCTAGTGTTAAATTTTTTATGTTTGAAACAGTTTAATACACATCTAAATTAAAGTAAGGGTAGGGCTGTCTAATCTTGATAATTAAGATGCATTTGGTGGAAACCAATAGGTGTTTGGTATTAGCAGCTATTATTAATGCAGTTTAATAATTATTGTCTAGATTTCATAGTTGAGACAGAGCTTTAGTTAAGTAACTTACTTGAGTCACACAGCCAGTAAATGGCCACCATGCTGGTTCTTACTTCCATTCACCCAGTGAGTGAACAAACCAGAGGGCAGACTGTGTTACAATAAGATACTTTAGCCATTGAATTTTGCCCTCTACCTTGAAAGAACTGAATGAGGTTAGCCATTGAATTTTTATTTTTTTTATTATGTTAATCACCATATATTACATCATTAGTTTTTGATGTAGTGTTTCATTAGTCATTGTTTGTGCATAACACCCAGTGCTCCATGCAGAATGTGCCCTCTTTAATACCCATCACCAGGCTAACCCATCCCCCCACCCTCCTCCCCTCTAGAACCCTCAGTTTGTTTTTCAGAGTCCATCGTCTCTCATGGTTCGTCTCCCCCTCCGACTTACTCCCCTTCATTCTTCCCCTCCTGCTATCTTTTCTTTTTTCTTAACATATGTTGCATTATTTGTTTCAGAAGTACAGATCTGTGATTTAACAGTCTTGCACAATTCACAGCGCTCACCATAGCACATACCCTACCCAGTGTCTATCCCCCAGCCACCCCACCCCCCCACCCCCCACCACTCCAGCAACCCTCAGTTTGTTTCCTGAGATTAAGAATTCCTCATATCAGTGAGGTCATATGATACATGTTTTTCTCTGATTGACTTACTTCACTCAGCATAACACCCTCCAGTTCCATCCACGTCGTTGCAAGTTAGCCATTGAATTTTGTCCTCTACCTTGAATGAACTGAATGAGGTAAATGTCTTGTTAGGGATAAGACTATTCGATATATTTTATACTAAGGGTATTGCATTATGAGGTAATTCTAACTGTAAGATAGTGGGATTTACTTAAAATTGTGAATGGAAGTTAATTAGCCTATGATTTCGTCCTACTTATATAATCTCATATTATCTTCCCTATCCCCTCCAGCTGTAATAGAACAGATGAAATGTGAAATTCCATAACAATATTTGTATTTTGCATAGTATATTTGAAACTAGAAGAGCATTTACATATAATTTCTAAGACAGAATGTTCTGTTCTACCGTTATTGTCAGGAGAAAGTTACAAGTTGGTACCTGGCACGAAGTATGCACCATGTGTCTACTATTTAATATTTGTGCTGTATTAGTATGTGTATAATTTGGACACATTTCTCTTCCTTTAACCTCTGACTTTTTAGGAAGCAGTTTTACTTGTAGTGATAAAAGTATTTTTCAAATTTTGTAGGATAAGCTTAAGTTCGCTTCCCCCGACCACTCTCCCAGATGACTTTCATGATATAGAGTTGTGTGCCTTCTAAGCATATTTTCCAGAGGACCTTAACAGTACTGAGATTTTTGCAAACATTACAATAATTTAAATATGAGTATTAGAATAGCCACCATTTATTGAGTATAATATATGACAGCCGTTGAGCTGAGCTCCATAGGCATTGTTCATTCAGTCTATCCAACAGTCGAGGTACAAGTACTGTTACCATCTTATAGGGCAAGCAGGTCAGACTTAACACTTGCCGGTGTCAGTTATTGACAGAGCTGGGATTCAAACAGTGGTTTCTACTAGTTCTTAAGCTACCGTGCTTTATTGCCTTGTGGAAATCTGATAGGCTTCTTAGTTCTTTAACAGCAGCTTAGCCTCTGAGCTAAGGAGCTAGAGTGGCCAGAAATCAGTTTGCTGAGGTGCTTGTGTACATGGGGTTGACTCAAAATAGCCCCCTAACATCAAGGGCAGTGATGGAAAGATCTTCTTTCAGCTGGCACATTTAAGCACAGAAATAACTAGAAATGACTAGTTGAATCATGCACCAAAACAGCGTTTTCACTATAATACTATGACTTTATAAGATAGGATAGTTTGTAGTAATCAGTACTTTATTACCAGGTGTGTGACTGGAAGATGATACAACTTATTTAAAGACCATTTATAACACAAGGCAATTATAACTACGTTATTTGGGATTTAAGGAACCTATTTTATACTAACAGTTTTATTTATTTTTATTTGCTGTTTATTTTAAGGAACTTAATTGTAAATACATTTCAGTCACATTTTCAGTTAAGGTATGTAAGTAATGCTTCTCTTGAGATGGGTTTATAAGATGCAAAATATGCTGAAGAAATGGGAGAATTTTTTACTCCCCACTGAGTGACTAAGAAATTATAGGTAGAATTACTGTCTTTTAACTTAAATCTCTTAAATGCCTGATGGCAACAAAAAGTAAATGCAGAATCAATACTGCTAATAATGTTGGAATATCTCAGATGCATGTATTCAGTTTCACCTCTGGAAATAAAATTTAGATAACATTTGTTTATTATAAGCTTTATTTGAGTTAAAGATAGAAAACAATATACTTTTATTTGCAATTTAATGATGCAAGTTGTTAATGGCAATCTAAGTTTACAGTAATTCCTTTTATATATACTTCATCATGTTATCCTTTTAGACATATAATTGAGGAATAAAGCTAATCATTTATGAATTTAACAATAATCAGAAAATTGTCTTCAAAAGAATTTAAGTATGTTGCTAGGTATAAAGTTCATAATTGCCAAAATACTTATATTAAAAGCATGAACCCAAGTCATTAAATAAAAATAAGAGCACATTTGTAAAAAAGTGCTATAGAAGGTGGTGCACAAAAATCATGCACTTATACATACTTTCCAAAAGGACGTAAACTGTACTTTTAGGCACTGGCATCTCTTCAAATTCTCTGTTCCAACGATATAGAGCAGGACTTTTGATGTCCAGATGCTACTGCAGAAAGATGACTAAGGCAACCACGTGCAGAAAAGCTTGTGTAATGCACAGAAAATACATTCCAAAAGTAAAGGTTTGCAATGATTGTTTGATATCTAAAAGGCTTGGAGTGTCTTTATGTGATTAAAAAATAAAACTCTGAGAATGCCACCAGATTCATATGAATGATATTTGGTGTACAGATTCTTCACATTTAAAATGACTTGAAATTTTTAAACAAAGATTTCATTTCTGTGATGTTTTACAGAGTGGCTGTGTGGCTTCTGTACTTTATAATAAACAGCTATTTGTGAGAACCAACTACTTCTCCTAAACCTTAGTATAAAATTGACACATTCTAAATATGGAATGTTTAACATATAGATATTGGACTTCAAAAATGACAGTCTTCAAAAAATCCCCATGTTTTATCATATTGCATAGCTGAAAATTCATCTACTACTTAAAAAAGTGTTCTGTTCATTCAAGCAGAAGTTTGCTCCAATCTCCTTCAATTTCCTTCTTTCATACTGTATAGTGGATCCACAAGTTTATTGTGCACATGCATTAAACCTTAAAGAAAAAAAGCACAATTCTAGTTTTATTTTTAATTTTGAATTATCTCTCATTTACCTTAGAAAATAGAAGAGTTTATAAGATACAATAAGTATACTGGTTCCCATCTGATACAAAATAGTTAAGTTTTATTGAAAAATGCAAATAGAAATGTTTCATAATGTTTAGTTGTAACTACCTAGCAAATAGCAATTTACAGTTATTTATGAAGCTGTAGATGAATGAGTACAAATTCCTTGGGAGTAGAAGCAGTTCTTGCCTTCAAAGCTTCAATATGGCAAAATAACAAATTTGAATAATGACTTGGTTAATACACTTTAATTACATCCTGTAAGTCTTTTGAGTTTGATCCTTTGCACTTCTCTACCAGACTCCAGCCCAGGAACTCAGAACTGTTATTAAACTGGCATAGCTTTAAGTTCCCCAAAGTATTACCCTATCCATTCATCTGGCAAATTATTTTCCACTATTTTGACATGTGTATTTACAATAGGGGTGATAAACTATACTGAAGGAGGTTAAGAAAAAAATCCAAGGTGCCATTAAAAAGTTGAAGACTCCATATTTAAACATAACCAAAGATTTAAATTTAGAATGCCAAAAAAGTAGAGCAGTCAGTACTGAATCATTTCTCACTCCCAAACTGATGACAACTGGAAGCTGTTTACCTGGCAGAAATCAAGTGCAGCCTCAATCTTAGGATATAAAAGAGCTAGAGATGGTTCAAAGAGTCTTTGAATCTCCCGCATTAATATACAAATTTGTGTGTGCATGTGTGCATTTTTTTCTGAGGACAGTCTCTTCACCAGATTTTCACTTTTGTCCACTTTTAAAAAATGGTGATTTTTCTACATGTAGTGACTAAAGCTATGTCTGTATGAAGCTGAACAAATGACAAGTTCAGTAAAGTCCGGGGAAAATCATTTATGAAAATGGGACATTTTCACC